CAACACAATAATCTCTACCCTGCCAGCCTGCGTGGCGGTTACCCAGGTGGGCACAACGTGCCCGGCGCCCATCAGTTTTCCCATCAAGTCGGGGCGCTAAGTCACCAAACGTCGGGACCAGGCAGCGGGAACCAGCAACACGCGGATGCAGGATTCCCCAGTCCCAGGTCGCTGGCCGGATATCCGTTCGCGCCCATGCACCAGCACAACACCTATGGATATCACCTGGGATCGTACGCGCCCCAGTGCCCCTCGCCGCCCAAGGACGGTGAGTACCCTAACTGTATGTATTCGCAGCCATTTTTATATTTCTATTATTAGAATAGTTAACCTAGTTGTTGGCCTCCTCCGTCCCTCGAAATCGGTGGTCAATCGTTGTCGTGATCGGGTCGTGAGGATCTTGTTGAATTTCGACGTCTTGGTTGTCTTAAGCGTGATATTTTGGTGATTTCGTGGGACGAGGAGGTGTTGGAAGGTTCACGGTGATGATTGCTGTGTCGATTTGTAATTAATCAACGTGGATGAGGTTCACATTCACCGTGAACTTTTCAAAGTTTTCGATCGGACGATTTAAAATCAATTTTGAATTCGAGATGCGATAAATATTCGCAATGGACTTCAACTGTCAAAGAGATATATTGTAAAGAAGCATCGTGCCAGCCTCGTGGTTATGCGATTATAATATTTCCTAATTCCTCGAATAATGTCGGTTACCCGATCCCGCCAGTAGATTTCTACTTTAGAAAGATGCATTTAATCTTGCGTGTTTTCTTAAGTGAAAATTCATATTCGCTATTCCATAACTCCAGTCATAACTCATCGATAATTGCATAGAGACGATACTCCTTTCCTTCTAACATCACTTAGTGATTTCATTATCTAATCTTCTCCGTACGATAGATCGGATCAATGGAAATACGTCACGTGTGTCGATCCGTGGACGTAAATCTGGAAATCGTGAATCTCTTGCCTCGAACGTTGATTTCTCGTGTGGAAGGAGTCTCTGTTCACGATTCAAAAAAGGAACGAAAACGGAAGAGAGAATCTAGAGTGGCAGGTAGTGGTCGGTCGACGGCCTGGACAGGCACAATAACGTTCGAGAAGCGGAATAAGATATACGACTAGGAAAGAGAATCCTCTTGGGACCCGAAAAAGTCCCGCAAAGCGGCTAACGAACGAAACAAAAAGCTCCCCTCGGCAGAATGAGAATAGTCGCGGTCTCCCAGTGTCCTCGAAAAACACTGTTAGATATTCAAACAGCCGAATACGCAACTGTTCCACTGTTTCTTTCCACATCTTCCTCACCTTCTTCTTCCTCTTTTTCTTCTTTTTCTTCTGCTTCGTCAATTTCTTTCAACTTCAAATATATATATAGTATATTTATACTAATTTATCGAATTGGAATACTAGGATATTTGTTCTCAATTCGATTTTCATGCTAGTAAATCGATTATGAATGTTTATGGAAAATTTAATCATTTTGTTTTTTGAAGAAAATTTATATTGGAAAGTGTGAATATTTCGAACATTTTTCGAAATATATTCGAGATATTAAAATGAACGAAATTGATACGGAAATACTATACTAATTGTAATAAATGGAATATTACAAAGATGAAGAAGCGATAAGTAAAAGAAAATTGTTTTCTATAATGTGCACATGGTGTCGCAAATATTTATTATGTTTGTAAATATGTTAATTCGCATAAACATCGACAATCTATTATTAAAGTAATTTTAATATTCACTTCTATTTCCTTCTTCATTAAATATACGCACGATAATAAATGGCCAACTAAATTTCACCAATGTCATAAATACAATTATTCGTTCACACATTCTTATCTCTGAATTGCCCGGTGTTCATCGTGAAAGAAAAGTCGGTATCGATTCTTCACTAACTAACCTTGTCGCCACGACGAATGGAAAAAGAAGAAAACGACCAGTCGTCGTTAGTATTATCCGTTCGAATACATTCCATCATCGGTGTAGTATCGTCTTTCCAATGAAGCTGTCATCCACGAATCGACGGCTACGAACAACAATACCCCCGGCGTCGATGTAAACGTGCAATATTCAGTTCTTTAGACGCGACGGTATTCGCGACACGGAAGACAAATCCTAAATTAATTGAAGAGGAATTTACACGAGTTTCACTTCTTCTTCCTTTTTCTTTTTTTCTTTTTTTCTTTTTTTTTCTCATTCCGTGGAAACTCTCGCTATAAATGCACGCTTCTACCCGTCCCTACGAGGGGAGACAATCGACAACCCTCTGAGAACCCTTTCCATCCCCGTAAATTAATAATGACCGATGTTCTTCTTCCACCTGTCTTTTACCCCCGTGAACGCGCACGTTCCAACGTTTCTGCATTATGGAAACCACGGGAGGCTTTCACCTATTGGTACCACCCCTTCGGATAGTTCGTAAGCACAGGCGTATCGGTTATAGATAATCTTAAATCGGTGAGTTTATCGAAATTGCTATGAGAATAAAAAAAAAAAAAAAAAAAAAAAAAAAAA